GATGCTGCTTTGAAAAGCAAGGCTGGAGACTATCTGGCTGCTGTTTGCATTGGAGTGGACCAGAATACAGTTGACAGGTTACTGTTAGAATGATTCAGGCCACAGATAATAATGCCTGAAATGGAGTGGTGGCAATGAAGATGGAAAAGCATGAGTAAATTTCATAACTGTAGAAGATAAAAGTCAGTAATAACTTGGGGACTAGAATGCACTGGGAGAAAAAGGAGAGAGAACATAATCATGAGCAGCAGCAATGCATAAGAGACAGAGTGACAGTATAATGGCCTTAGGGCTGGGAGTCTGAAAACCTCAGTTCTGTCATGGATCTGCTGCTTACTTGCTCTGTGACCTTGGGCAGGTTTATTAACTTCTTGGAACCTCTGTTTCTTCTTCTGTGAAGTGGGTACCTGTACAACACACAGAGCAGTACAACTCCATTCCGGTTCCTGGACCCTATTCCAGTGTGTCTGTGGGAGGGGGTCTTCCCACACACATCACCAAGCAATTCTCTAACACCAGCAGGGTGTCCAAGAACTCAACTCAATTCTGATGCTATCTGCCCAGAGACAGCACCGGATTCCCCAGGGTAAGGGCTCTGGCCTACAGGACTGCCCTCCACTCCCACATTCTAGACAACAGTTGTAAGCCTCAGGCTATGCCCTGTGCTTCTGACCAACTGGCTCCAGATTGGAAGTTCCAACAACCTCCCCCTTAGGTTTGATTAATTTGCTAGAACGGCTTAACAGAACTCAGGAAAACACTTACATTTACCAGTTTAATAAAGGGTACAAGCTATCAGCCAGATGAGAAGATACACAGGGCAAGGTCCCAAATCACAGAGCTTCTATCCTGGTGGAGCTTGGGGCCTGGCTGCATGGCACGTGGAAGCTTTCTGGTTCCCCAAGCATGGAAGCACTCTCTGACAGAGAAGCAGGATGAGAAAGAGAGAGAGATGCTTCTCTCATGGGTTTTTGTGAGGGCTTCTTTGCATAGTCATGATTGACTAAATCACAGCCATTGGCTGATACAACCTCCAGCCCCTGCCCTTGGGTGGGTCCAAAAGTCTCTCATTTCACCTTTAAAGCTCTGAAATGTTTTCAGAAGCTGTGGATGAAGACCAAATATACCTGGGAAATATATATTTGGTCATCTGAGTGTATTTCTTTTTTTTTTAATTAAAGTATCATTGATATGCAATCTTTTTTCTTTTATTAAGGTATCATTGATATACAGTCTTATGAAGGTTTCACATGAGCAACGTTGTGGTTATTACATTCACCCATATTATCAAGCCCCTACCCCCACCCCATTGCAGTCACCGTCCATCAGTATAGTAAGATGCTATAGAGTCACTACTTGTCTTCTCTGTGCTATACTGTCTTCCCCATGACCCCTGTACATTATGTGTACTACTCATAATGCCCCTTAATTCCCTTCTTTCTCCCTCCCCATCTGTCCTCCCGACCCCTTCCCTTTGGTAACCGCTAGTCCCTTCTTGGAGTTTATAAGTCTGCTGGTGTTTTGTTCCTTCAGTTTTGGTTTGTTATACTCGACAAATGAGTGAAATCACTTGGCACTTGTCTTTCTCCTCCTGGCTTATTTCACTGAGCATAATACCCTCCAGCTCCATACATGTTGTTGCAAATGGTAGGATTTGTTTTCTTCTTATGGCTGAATAATATTCCATTGTGTATATGTACCACATCTTCTTTATCCATTCATCTACTGATGGACACTTAGGTTGCTTCCATATCTTGGCTATTATAAACACTGCTGTGATAAATATAGGGGTGCATATGTCTTTTTGAATCTGGGATCTTGTTTTCTTCAGGTAAATTCCTAGGAGTGGGATTCCAGGGTCAAATGGTATTTCTATTTTTAGTTTTTTGATAACCCTCCATATTGTTTTCTACAAGGTTGAGCTAATTTACATTCCCACCAGCAGTGTAGGAGGGTTCTCCTTTCTTTGCATCCACACCAGCATTTATTGTTTCTTGTCTGTTGGTTATTGGCCATCCTAACTGGCATGAGATGATATCTCATTGTGGTTTTAATTTGCATTTCCCTGATGATTAGTGATGTGGAGCATCTTTTCATGTGCCTGTTGGCCAGTGACTATATTTCTTATAATTCATTATATTGCAGTATCATAATCACTGCCCTGCTTGTCACACAGTTGTTTTGAGGTGCTTATGAACTAATATATATGAAAGTGCTTTGTAAATACTAGCACATGATACAAACGAAGGTGATTATTGTAATTATTATAAAATGTAAGTCTCTTATAGGGTACTGAAGGATATAATGATACTTTATTTGCCCTTTGGGAATATTCAGTCTGGTAATGGGACTCAGACATGTCTACCTGGAAAGGCAGTAGAACAGGTGTTATAGAACAAGTGGATCGTATTAATGCAGCCAAGCTCTTCCTGGGCATCGGGGCCTTAACTGTGTGTTTAGGGGCCTTATTTTAGCCCACGGGCTTCAGCCTGTACTTTTCATCGGACATCTAAGGATAGGCCCAGACAAACCTGGCATTCAGCCCCTGTCTAACCCTTGTCAACTTCTTAGACACTGTTCAGTGAATTTTTTTAATGGTGAATTTGGGCTTGTCTTCAGCCATGAACCTTGCTGGAATATGATCCTGGGCATTTCTGGGAGGGAAAATGTCTTACTTCTCGTGGAGCCAAGAATATTTGTGCCATTACTGTGACTGTGTGGAGAATAACTTCTGCAGGGAGAGAACTCAGTGGTTTCCTTGACAGTTTGGTAGTGGGGAAGACCAGAGACTCAGGGATTCTAGGCCTCCCTTGCTGGCTTGCCTTAAAGAGGAGGATGGTCTGGACTTGCCTCACAGGCCTACATGGTATTTCTGGTTTGCCTAGATGCCCAGAGTCTAATACCTGTAGGACGAACCTGTCGCTGAAACTCAGGAATAGTCAAGCGAGTTATTGAAAAGAAGAAGTACTCGTTTCCTTACCTACAAAATGGGGATACTAATATCTGTTTTGTAGGGTTGCATGAATATTCTGTGAAATAATGCATACGGAATTTTTAGCACATGCCTGGCACATGGTAAGAGCTCAGTAAATCAGAGCCTCTAAACCCAGGTGACATGTAGGAGTTACCCAGGAAGCTTAGGTCAGATGGCCATCTCCTCTGCCTCCTCCTGAGGACATTGAAAGAGGAGAAACTGTGGCTGGCAAAAGAAGGAGGAAAAAGGAGGTTTTCTAGAGATGTTTTAATCTTGGCCCTGTAGGTCCCCGTCTAGGGAGAAAGATTCTTTGGCTGAACCTTGAAAGGTATTGAAGTCTCTGTCAGCTGGGTTACATTTGCATATGTCTGCTGAGGTCTAGTTAATAGCAAGACCCTGAAAATCCTATTCATTTTAGAGCTGCTGTTACAAAGTACCACACACTAGGTGGCTTATTGTTTCAGTTCTGGAGGCTAGAAATTCAAGATCACGGTGTCTGCAGGGTTAGTTCCTTCTGAAAGTTATGAGGAAAAAAATCTGTTCTATGCCTCCCCCCTAGCTTCCGGTGGTTTGCTGGCAGTCTTTGATGTTTCTTGGCATGAAGCATCACTGTGCTCTCTGCCTTCGTCTTCATATGGTCTCCTGTGCATCTGTCTCCAAATTTCCCCTTCTTTTAAGGCCACTGCTCTTACTGGACTAGGGGCCCACCCCACTCCAGTATGACCCAATTATAACTTGTTACATCTGCAGTGACCCTATTTCCAAATAAGGTCACATTCTGAAGTACTGGGAGTTAGGACAAAGGCATTTGGGGAGGCCCAACCCCTAACTTCAGCACTAAAATTCTTTCTGTTTTTTAATTGAAGTATTGTTGATATGCAATCTTGTATTGGTTTCAGATGTACAACACAGTGGTTCAACAGGTTATCCATATTATTAAATCCTCACCCCTTCTAGTGCAGTTACTATCTGTCAACATAAAAAGATGTTATAGAATCATTTACTGTATTCTCCGTACTGTACTACTGTCCCCATGACCAACTTATATCATGATTGTGAATTATTGTACCCCTTTATCCTCCTTACCCCCACCCCACCCCAAACCATCCCCCTTGGTAACCACTAGTAACTCTCAGTGTTCATGAGTCTGCTCCTGTTGTGTTCATTCTGTTTTTCAGCAACAACTCTTTAAATATTAAAGCTTTTTCTGCTAGATCAGTAGGACCTTAGTGAACATCTGCTTTATGCAAGACCATTGATGGGAGAGAGAAGACTATAAGTCTTTGGATTAATGATCTGTTAAGGTCCTAGCTTAGGGAGGCAGCATAGCATAGTGGTTTAGAGCTGAGGATTTGGGCCAGACCGCCTGGGCTTGGGTCTGGGTGCCGCCAGTTACTAACCATGTGATTTTGGGCAAGTAACTTAAATCTCTGTGCTTCATTTTTCTATCAGCAAAATGATAGTACTTAACTGATAGGGTTGCTGTCAGGCTAAAGTGGATTAATACATGTAAAGATCTTGGACTATTGCCTGGTAAGCACCCGATAAAATATTAGTGGCTTATATTATTCAAACACCTTCGAAATCTAAAATTCTGTAGTTTAGAACCTTAAAGCAACCCATAATCAAGAATGAAACAAGTGGAATGCTCATAAAATATAGGCTGTCAGGGCTGGCAGCGTCTTGAGACTGTCTACGCAAACCTCCTCTTCATGCAGATGGGGAGACCAGGGTTCAGGAAGAAGTGGCTTGCCTTGGATCGAATGGCTCATTAAGTGGTAGGACCAGAGCTACTAACCCCGGTGAATGTTCTTTCTGCTCCTCCCTTACTTTTCCAACAAAAAATTAAGTCTTTAACAGTGCATTGAGAATCTACTCCAGGCTAAGTTGAGCTCTGTAAATACATGTGAAGTAGACAGTCCTTGGCCTCTAAAGAAGCCTACAGCTCAACAAAGAGTTTATAAATAAGCCTAAGAATGTAATAATGCCCCTGTTTTTTTCCCCCTTTTTCTTATTTCTCTTGCAGCAAATAAAAAGAAGGAGAAGGAACGGCCAGAGATTTCTCTTCCTTCAGATTTTGAGCACACAATTCATGTTGGTTTTGATTCTGTCACGGGGGAGTTTACAGTAAGTCCTGGGTCATGGAAGGCCTGTGGTCTTTCAGAGTTCTGGCTATGCACTGTTAGATTCAATCCTTCCTAGTCTTCCTGATGCCTCTGTCTTTGCCTGAGAGCCTCATTACTGTCTTCTTATATTCATGAGAGGGACACTTTCCTCATCTCCAAAATTGTACCAGAGAAACCTTTGGATCTCCATTCCTGTTAAGTGGCCCCTTGGCAGCAGGCTCTGTGCTGGGCACTGATGATACAGAGACAAATCAGACATGGTTCCTGCTCTAAAGGAGGACTAGGCTGGTGAAGGAGCAAACATCTGAAAAAATGACTAATGCAGTGAGATAGATAATGTAATAAAGGCTTGTGTGGAGCTCTGAGGGCATAGAGAGGAAAGAATGTGCAAGCCTGTCTTTAGCTGCTAGCAGGTATCAGAGTTAGCTCTGATTTTCCTTCAGGGTCCCCTGTGACTGTGCCTTCCTGACAGCCATGCATGTCTCTCTTACAGGGGATGCCAGAGCAGTGGGCCCGCTTGCTTCAGACATCAAATATCACCAAGTCAGAGCAGAAGAAAAACCCGCAAGCTGTCCTGGATGTATTGGAATTTTATAACTCAAAGAAGACCTCCAACAGCCAGAAGTATATGAGCTTTACAGGTATGGGGCCTGCTCAGGGCAGTCTGGAAGACGGAGGGTTTTCATTTGGGTGGGAAAGCTCTGCATGCCTTTTGGTGTGGGCTGAGGGAAGAAAGTATTGGACAGAGTGGAGATGACATTGCACAAAATGGAATTTTGGACTTTGAGAGCCAAGATGATGGGATGTTACATCAAACTTGAGTTTTTACTCTAAAACTGCATTTTTTTTTAAAGTAGCATGATGTTATATATAAAGAACATAGACTTTGTACTGAAAGAGATGATTCTGATAGTCACTAGGTTCTAATAATTACTTAATTTCTTTGAGCCTCAATAATGGGAATAATAATTTCTATCCCAAGAGGTTGTAGTGAGGAATAAATGAGTTTGTTGATGTGAAAGTTCTCTTTTGGTTGTAAAATGAGACTGCGGAAATGTAGCTATCATTCTCAGTTATTTAATAACACACTTAATCTTTTTTCAATAGGCAAGCACAATTTCTTCCTCAAGAAATTCTTTATCAGTCAAATGAAAAACAGCCCCATAATAATAAATGTTCTTTGGATGCTCTCTCTCTCTCATCTAATAGGTACAGATTTATGGGACTATGTTTTTCAGAGTGTTTTTAATAGCAGAATTGGGGTTAGAATCCAGGTCTCCTAATTCCTAGGCCAGCACTTCTTGAGTTTCCTGCTTGCCTTTAGTAACTCTATTTAGAAGATTCCTTCCATAGCAGAGATATTTTTTTCTAGATAAGTTATGAGAAAGCCTATATTTCTGGAAACTTGCCTTTTATATAGCATCTTAGGATGTTAGAATAAGAAATATCCTTAGTATATACCACTTCCAGTCCCCCTTTGTTTTACAGGCATTTAAGCCAAAAAAGGGCCTTTCTAATGAAGCAAAATTGGTGGCGGAGCTGGTCTCTTAACTCTGAGACCAGTGCTCTTACCAGTGTTCATGCTGTTCTCTTTCAAAGAGCAGTATTGCTGGGGTAGGTGAGAACCAGGATGAACTAGCTAATTTTGAAGGGTGTTTTCCCCAGCGAGTGTCTGGCTTGCATCAAAGGGCACAGATGGTGAGGGTGCCGGGTTGCAGCTTTGCTCGTGCTGCCTCGGTGGTGCCCAGGAGAGGGGCATGCCTGTTCCCTGCAGTATTTCCTTCCTCACATCTGGCCCTGCTGGGTCTGTCTCACTTTTCCCATTGAGGGACTGGGTCATTCCAAGAAGGAATTGGAGTTGAGTGGTGCTGGGTGGTAAAGTTTTTTAGTGAGGAGACTAGAGGTTTTGTTTTAAGGAGTTGGCAATGGAGACATCAGATTAGAAGCTGACTTTGAAAGCCTCAGCAGCAAAGTTTTTGGAAGAATTGCTGTTTTTATGTGTACACGTGTAGATGTGTATAAATGCTATATGTGTATAAGGAAGCATAGCTCTGTAGGTTTGCATATTAAAGTTCATTTAAGTATTCATGAATGAATATGCATATAGATATACACATTCAGGCACTTGTGTGTATGTTCATCTGTGCATGCATGTATGAATAGCATTGAGTGTATAACTATAGAATATGTGAATATATGTCCATACATCTTCTATGTGTATAAGTACATGCATGTATATGTATATACATACACATGTGTGTATGTGTTTGTGTATATATGTGTGTGTGCACACATACACATGCAGAATTTTTAGTTTTCTAAAAGTTGAAGACCAGAGCCAATACTAGGCAGAATTGTATATTTGGTACAGATTATTTTTAATATCATATCTCTCCTTTTCTTGTTTTCCTGCTTCTCATACTATTAATTAAAATAACACTGCCTCAGTTTGTGCATGCTTGCAAATAAGTTATTTTATCTGATTCTCATGATAGCTCAGGGTACAGGCAAGGTAAGGATGATTATCTCCATTTTACAAATTAAGAGAAATGAATTGGACTCAGAGAAACTAAGCAACTCACTCAGGGTGGCTCAATTGTTATGTGATAGAAGTGTTTTAAACTTGGACCTTTAAAGCCTTTGCTGTCTACTATCCAAGCACAATCCTCCATGGCAATTTTTTATCAAGTTCCTTATTTTCCAACACTTTATTTTCTATACCAACTAGTAGTCAGTGATGAGCAAAAAAGTAGACTAGATTGACAACCCAAAGTAAAGTTCTGGGTTTTAGCCCTACTCTGCCACTGATTTATGTAACCCTGAACAAGTGTCTTTCACTCTCTGAACTTCTGTTTCCTCATTTGTAACATGAAGGGTTTGGAAGTACTTTCTGCTCTGTTATTCTGTGCTATGGAATTTGATTTTGATACATAGACATTGTACATCAGATTTCAAAGGAGCAATGCTTGCTTGTTTTTTTTATATGGCAGAGGTATACTCAGTCCTCAAAAACATTAGCAGTGCACAAGGTTGGGGGTAGTGCAGTGAAGGCATGGTATTGCAGTTTCTCTGCCTAAGCTGATATTCTTTTTTATTAAGGTATGATTGATATACACTCTTATGAAAGTTTCACATGAAAAAACAATGTGGTTACTACATTCACCCACATCATCAAGTCCCCACCCATACCCCAATTCAGTCACTGTCCATCAGTGCAGCATAAGCTGATGTTCTTTTGGACTAGAAAAACGTATTATGTTTCAAGTATATCCTTCAAGAACATACTGTCGCAGCTTGTGGGTTCATGATTTGTCACAGGACCAAAGAAGCTGTACCTGGCACTTTCTTAAATGATGGAATTGGGATCTTGGATGTTCTCTGGGCTTTATTCTTAGTGAGGAATATGTTGGATTTAGTAGAGTATTTCTCCTTCTCATTCCTTTGGTGGCAAATTGGTGGAGTCAGTTTCTTCTTGGATCTTTAGGAATGAAAGATTAAACCAAACATAATAGTTGGTCTCGAAACTTATTTTCTTGTTAAGATTTCCATTGAATCTGTATTTCATATTTTATCAAGTCCAAGGTAATATGGATTCTAAGAAGTACCATTATTTTATATACCACTAAAGAAGAAAAAGTTGCCAATGAAACCATACAGTACCTTTGATCGTAGGACAGTCTCTGTTTCAGAGATGTTAGTGTGAAAAATGTACATCTCAGAATCAGTGAAATATAGTAATTGCCTCCTTGAGGAGTTTGAATCTATTCTTAGAAACAAGACCCTGTCTTCAATTAGACTTGACATGATTAACCCATCTCTCTTCCTAAGCCTTAGTCTTTCTCTTCCTGTGAGTAATAGACATGGCTGTAGAAGGATCTTTACTAAAAGCTGAAATCACGCACTGGTCATGGTTTGTCATGGATAGCTCAGGATGGTGCCAGCTCTGAATTCTTTTCCTTTTCTTAGATTGCAGGGAATTTCCTCAGCCATTGAGGCCTGATGATGTTGTAGTTGATGATGTGGATACAATTCAAGCATACTATTTAGAATTAGACCAAGATTCAAATCCTGACCCCTATTTAACCTGTGTGTATCCTGGGCAAATTACTTAACTTCTTTGAATCTGTTTCCAAATCTCTAAAAGTAGACATAATAATAGTACTCAGAGCTGTAGTGAGGATTAAAAGAGGCATTGTGTGCAATATTCTCAGCATTGTGTTGGGCCTATCATACCAGTAATATTATTCTTCTCTGAGCCTTGCAAGTGGTTAACTGGATAGGCTTCCTTGGCTCTTAAGAATGAATTAACTATAATTGTTTACTGACTGAGTCCTTTGTCTTTTTCCCTTTGCAGATAAATCAACTGAGGATTATAATTCTTCTAACACTTTGGTAAGTCTTTATTTCCTCTCTTCTGATGTGGGCAGATATGGTGGTTAGGAACCAAGATGGTGTGGTAGATTCAGAGCCTGGGCTAGGGGGCACTCATTTTGGTCACTGCCTTTCCCTGGGCCTCAGAGTCTCTCTCTTTACAGGAAAGGAATTGGACTTCATAAACTGTAGGTATTTCAGTGTTTTATTTGTAGCTTTGAACCTTGGGAAGTCTGTTGCCTTCCTGAGCCTCAGGATTTTTTCATCAATAAAATGAGGATGATACATTTTGCCTTACCTGGACATGTCTTCAAATACCTGAATTTAGAAAAGAATTCTCTCTCTTTGGTTGGTAGAGTCTAAAAAACCAGACTCAGGATTAATCATTGAAAGGTGCAGGTTCTGTCCTTTAAGGTCATTTATGATGTCCTCTGAAGTTGTAATGAATGCCCTGTCACTTGAACGGATGTTCTAGGAATCCTTGATGAATTAGCTGGAAAGTAAAACAGGGTGATCGCAAAGGTCCCTCTACTTCTCTCAACTTATAAATTCTATTTTCCAGAGCAGATAAAACGACATGTGTAAATGGTAAGCTTATACATAGTAAGCTGTGAGATATATATATATATATATATGCAAGAATACTGCTATTTTTCATACTTGATGTTGTGCCTTGTACAAAACAGATTATGTCATGTTGATTTACTTAATCGTTTGCAAGGCCCCTACTCTATGCCAGGTCCTGTGTGGAGAAGTGGCAATACAGAAATGAATCAGACATTGTCCCAACTCTTAAGATACTCTCAGTCTGTGAGTGCCATAAAGGCTTCACTGAAACTTCATGAAGCCAGGGACTATGTCTGTTGTTAATTGCTGTATCTGTGGCACCTGGCAAGTAACCTGTACCTGAATGAACAGTTGGATGTATAAGGAAAGCTTTCTGATGGTAAAGTCTGAGCTGAATGAGTTAGGTTGTCTGGGGCAAGGACTGAGGAAAGATGATGGTGTTCCAGACAGAGACTAACTAGCATGTGCAAACACAAGGAGGTTTGCAAGGTTTGGTTGTACATGGAACTGCAAGTACTTAGTTATGATTGGAATGTGACGTGTGATGGGACTAGAGGTGGGTGACAAGAACAGGTAGGCAGGTCAGATCATGGAGGGGTTTTAACTTTATCTTAAAGGTGATGAGAAGATATTGAGGAATTTTAAGCAGGGGAGTAGTAAATTCTGACACAATACTGAGTCATCATCAAAATACTTTGAAACCATGCTTCCTGCAGTGTGGGTTGTCTTACTATGAGTCATTATATCTTCAATTATAAAAATGCTCACATGTCCAGTGCTTTTGTAGTGTACTGGGCCCCTTCTTATTCACTATCTCTTTTAGTCCTCACAGGAGTTTAATGAGGTGGGTTATTATCCTTGTTTTATGGATGATAAAATTAAAATAGAGAAAGCTTAGTGACAGTAGGTATCTGATTCCCTGTATTGCTTTCCCCTGATTAATTCTTTCATCAAATGGAAGAGATATAATTAAAGGATGGGGAAGAATTTGCAAATATTAAGATTTACAGGCATTTCTTCCGATTATTTAACAGCAAATTATTGAAGAAGTGTCTGAAGGAAGTTGGGCTGTGCTTTGTGGCTCAAATGTCTTTATGCTTTTATAGGATGACAGCTATCATTAATTGAGTGGCTAGTAAGTGCCAGACACTGTGCTAATAACTATATATGTTAGCATAATTAGTTCTCACAATCACCTTGTGAAGAAACTATTAATATCCCCATTTTACAGGCAGAAAAACAGGCTTTCCAGAAGACTCATAATTAGCTATTGTGTCAGAGTCAGATTAGAACCAGGGTCTTCTGAGTCCCAGTCCAAGATTCCTTACACTGTGGCAGGGAACTGAGAAGGAAGATGTCATAGAGGTCTTATCAAGGAGACTGCAGTAAATCCATAGCTATGTTGTTCACTGGTGAGGAGCCCTGGGGCTCATGCCATATGGCAGAGAGGAAACACCTGCGTGGTAAAAACCTGTACTGGTTCAGTATCTGCAGTGAAAACCACTCAGGCTGTCATGGACATTTTTTCCCCCAGTTCAGAACATCTGTCCCTGTGGATCAGCGCTCTGTATTTCCTTAGTAGTTTTACATGGGGGATATAGTTTGTATTGAGGGAACATGTTATTATTTTCACTTGATTTGTGAAATTGGATGGGATCGTTATCCCCTTAACATGGGTTAAGAAATTGAGACGCAGAGAGATTGACTTTCTCCCTACCCTTGACTGAGTTAGTACTCAAAACCAAAACAAAATTCAGTTCTCCTGAGCACTCATTTATTCATGCATGCCATAAATATTTACTTAGCACCTTCTTTGTGCCCAGGTGTAGGTGATGCAAAAATGAATGTGAACTATTGTAGTTCTTCAGAGAAAATTAACAACAGACTAGAGAGAGAAAGGCTGCAAGAGAGGTATGAGTAATATCCAGTGGGAGTGGTATTTGCTGTAGTGATTTATTATGCCTCATGGTACAAGGAAGTTTGCATAGTTGTTAGGCCCTAATGATTTGTTCACTTAACACAGTCTTTAAGGTTCCTTCTAGCACTAAAATTCTGTTACTTGTGGCTTATTGGTTTCCATGGCGTTTTAGTGCCTGAATTCTCATTTATAAAATGAACACCTACTATGTGATAGGGTCTTTGGGTATTGGGGAGTCAAGGACTAGTAAGGTTTTGCTTTTAATCTTGACATTTAGTGAGGGATTTGAACATATAAACAAGGTTTCATAATATGTGTCAGGGAAACACAGGTAATGATAACAGTCACAGGAAAGGGCAATGCTTTCTCTTCTGAGACAGCATGAACAAAAGCCAAGTTAAGGATCTATCATGTGAGGCCAAAGAACCTGGACTTTGTGCTGTCGCTAAGAAAGTACTTTAAATAGAAGGTTAATACAGTTGGATGTGCATTTTAGTCTAAACTAAAATCTTAGATTCCTCTAGAAATCGGATCAGGGTCATAGAATGAATTCATGAGCCTGTCTCTCTTGCTACCCCAAATTTCTTAATTTCAGAAAAAACATATTAAAAATAAATTTAAAACATTTCTCCAAAACAAAAATGACACAAATTAACTGTTCTCAAGCATTCATGGAAGATAGAGAGCAAGTAAGATCAGATTGATCAGAGCAGAAGAAATCACAGCTCAAAGTATGTGTAAGAGAAAACTCCCAGGAAGAATAACTTCAGAGAAAATGAGCTGAGACGATATACATAAGAAGCAGGAAGGGGTCCTGGGTCATCTTCAAGGGTAAGTTAATTAAAATTCAGCATTTGAAATGGCAGGGGCAGTCTCTATCTTACAGTGAGCAAGAGGTAGCAGAATTTTGATTCTAAGCTTGAACCAAATAATTTTCTAAAGAAGATAATGCCTGGTTTGGGCATAGAAGCCTGAGTGAGAAGCAGAGCAGAACCTAACGACACATCTCTTCAATAGGTATAAAGAAGGGGGAAAATGCAAAGTAGCTGCGCAGCAGAAGAAAATACACTCAATTTCTCCATCCCAAGAGTAGATTTCTCATACTTTTGCTAACTGGGAGAAGAGGAATCTCTACCCTACAAGCTCTTCCATGGAGTTATGCTTGCGAGTAACCACATCTTCATAACTCTCATACAGACTGCATTAGACCTCCCAGTCAGAGAAGGGGACAGTGCAGAAACAGACATATATAACTGCAGAAGAAACTCATGTCAGCTACATACACTAATCAGTCTCGTCATTTACTTACAAATATGAATGGATAACCAACCAAGGATCTCTAGACACTTTAGGGAAACAAAGCATTAAACAGAAGGATCAAGATAAAGAAATAAAACTGGACCCAGAGGAAATAGACCATCCAGAAAAGAGGATTTAAAAAAATATATAATATGTTCAGAGAGGTTCTATAAATGTTGCATCCACAAAAACATATTGCTATCCTACTACTGAATACAATATACTATTGTATACAATTCAGTGATTTTAATAAATTTTTAGATCTGCGCAGTCATCACCATAATCTAGTTTTTTTGTTTTTGAGTATCGCTGTAGAATAATCCAGCTGGATCATTTTGGAGAAACATCCTCTATTTTGTCTTTAGAATTTAAGCTGGTCAGATTCAGAGAAGAATCCTCATCTCCTGCCTTGAAAATTAAAGTTTGACTGCTAGGTGTTCTAGGAGCCTAGTAAGGAAAGAAGGTTAGGGGTCTAAGCACTCAGTATGCATATATTCACCCAATTACCCTGATTTTAGTATGATACACTTATATTTAACTGTGCCTGACAAGCCTAATCCAGAAGCCCTGTTTTCTCTTTTCCAGAGAGTAAACGTCTTGTTTTCTGCTAGGGAAGTGAGAGAGGGCAATCACCCAGTGATGTAGAGGAGGGGAAGAGATTTAAGGATCCAACTGCATCTTAAATGATTTTTATTGAATCTGCCTTTAGTACTCTTCCCTGCCCCTCCACTTCATCTCCAGTTTCAGAGGCATATAATGCTACAAAGTCCCCAGCCTTTTGAGGATTCTGCAGCACAGATGTATAGGTTGGTTTTCATCTTTGTCCCCTTCGGCTATGGATTCAGCCTCCTCGAGTCAGTTACTATCATTGCCTCCTTCTTTTGCTACTCGTGCCTTCTTTCCTGTCTTTCCCATTCTTTTGGGTTTAATGCTTTTAAAAAACCATACCTTTATTTGTTCTAGTGAGATTTCAAGAAATAGATGCCTATGTTTAATTTGCCATCCTTACCAGGCATTCCTGAGAAAGGTTCGCCTTTTATTACTTATATTTCCATATCATTTAAATTGTGTAATGAGAATCTACTATTTTTATATGCACTTTAAAAATTTTACTTTTGAAAAACAAAAACAGCTTTATTGAGGTATTATTTACATACCATAACATTATATTATTTTAATTTACATACTATAAAATAAATATTATTTACATACCATAAAATTAAATAGCACAAAAATCACCCATACTGATTATACAATTCAGTGATTTATTAAGTTTGTAGACTTGTGCAGCCATCACCACAATCTAGTTTTAGCACATTCCCATCACCCCCAAAATTCCCATCATCCTTTGTGCCCTTTTTACAGTTCATCCAAATTGCTATGCCCAGCCCTAGGAAATCACTGATCTTTCTGTCTGTATGAATTTACTTTTTCTAGACAGTTTATATAAATGGACTAAAACATGTAGTCTTTTGTGCCTAGCTCCTTTTACTCAGAATAAAGTTTGTGAGTTTCATCCATGTTGTGGCATGTCTCATTACTTCATTTCTTTCTATGTCTGAATAATATTCCATTGTATTGATATACTACATTTTTTGATCCATTAATCAGTTGATGGGCATTTGGTTTGTTTCCAGTTTTTGGCTATTATGACCAATGCCCATGTGAACATTCATGTGCAAGTTTTTGGGTGGATGTAAATTTCCATTTCTAGAGTGGAATTGCTAGGTCATATGGTAACTCTATGTTTAAGCTTTTGAAGGACTGGCAGACTGTTTTCCACAGTGGCTGCACCATTGTACATACCCATCACAAACTATGAGGGTTCCAATTTCTCCATATTTCCTCCACATTTGTTACTGTCTTTTGATTACAACCCTTTTGGTGGGTGTAAAGTGGTATATCATTGTGGTTTTGACTTACATTTCCTAGTAGGTAATGATGTTGAGCATCTCATCATTTGCTTATTGGCCATTTGTTTATGTTCTTTGGAGAAATGTTTTTCCTGTTGATTTCTGATTTTAATTCCACTGTAGCCAAAGAGTACATTTTTGTTGCACTTTCAGTCCTTTTAAATTTATTGAGGTGTATTTTATGGCCTAGCATATGTTTTATTGTGAGGAATGATCCATATGTGGTTTAAAAAAATATGTATTCTTCAGACCTTGAGTGGGATGTTCTGTGTATGTTAGTTAGGTCGAGTTGATTGATAGTGTTGTTCAAATCTTCTGTGTCCTTGCTAATTTTCTTTCTAGTACTGTCAGTTTTTGAGATCTCTTTCAGGTCTTTCCCAGCCTTTACTTTCTTCTTGGCCCTTTTGAATCTCTTATGTGTGTGCACACAACCAGGCATGTATGGCCTATGTGGGGCCTCTCTCTAGGGTCTGCTGTGCCTGTAAGCAACCTCAGCCAGAAATTTGTTTGTCCAGGAATTCAGTCTCAGACTAGTAGAGGCCTAGTTGGCCTTTTCTTGCTACCATTTCTGGGAGGTCACTTCCATTGACAGCACCATGGGGCCTGGGCATTGCCCACTGCTCCAAATGAAAGTGAGCCCTCTTGGACCACATAGTTACAGCTCATCTTGCCCTGGAAGAACCCCTACTCTAATGAAGCTGGGGGTGGGGTGGATGGGAATAACCCTGGGCCAGAACATCAGAGATTCTACTTCTTTGCCCAAAGTTCAGCAGTTCTTAAATGATAAACATTTCTCAGCAACATAAGTAGGCTTCCAAGAGGTTTTTGGAATATATCAGACATGGTCCCATCTCAGGGTTCTTTCATCTGCTAGGAATATTCTTTTCTCAGAGGGTCCCGTGGCTTTCTCAGTTCATTCAGGCCACTGCTTAAAATGACTTCTCATTAGAGAGGTCTTTCCATGACATCTCCATTACTAAAGTATTATTTCTCTCCTCCTAACCAATCTCTACTCTCATAAGACGAGGGACTTTATCTATTTTGTTCTTCATAATAGCCCCAGTGCCTAGCATAGAGCCTGGTAATACAGTGAAGGAACAGATGACGTGAAGTCACTGGTTTTTTTTCAAACAGAAGCTTGTGGTTATTAAACATAATGATAATTTAATTGATTCTTACATCTTGCTAGCTCCTTACCATTTATGAAGTGTTTCTATACCCACATCACTTCATTTCATCCTCCCAGTGGCCCTCTGAGCTAGGCAGAAAGCTGCTGTCATTATCCCCATTTTACAGATGAGGAACTTGTGTCTTAGACAGCTTTGCCCAGGGACACAAGGATGAGAAGTAAAAATCTGGGACAAAAGCCTTTATCTCTTGAATCTGGTAATTGTTAGTACCACCAGCCAAAGCTGTCACCTTTGGAACACAGGGAATGCTAGTAAGGAAGGTGATAAAACCCCTGGTAGGGAGCAAACCTGATGTTCACAGTGTGCATCGGAACCCCAGGGTGATGATGCCGAAGCTGCTGAGTCAACATCATTTGCATTTTGGGGTTCCAGTTAATTTCTGCTGAGTGAAATAGTGTGAAGAAATGAAATTGTTGCAGGAAAATATCAAAATATGTGCTTTGACAGGGCAAGAACCTCTGCTGGATTTTAGAACTGAGAGTAACTTAAGGTCACCCCTCAAAATGTACCACCCCTCTTCTTCCACATTCCTCAAGGGATGAAACTTGAGACCAAGAGGAGAGCTTCATTGCCTGTGGTCACTAAAGCTAGTTGCTTCCAGGTGGCTGGCACTGTCAGTTTTCCAGTTATGTCTTGTACTGGAAGTCCTGTTAGAGTCTATCAGATTGCCAGTTTTCCTTACCTTAGTAGGGCAAATGTGGTAAAGGCCAGTACAGTATATTCCACTATGAAAGTTCCTTCACTTGTCCCCCTCATCCTGACTCCTGGTTCTCCTTTCTCCAGAGGCCCCACATGGCAGGCAGGAGGGAACTCACCCTCTGTGTGTCTCCTAGGACAGATGGTGAGCCACTTCAACACATGGACCATCTTTTTCATCTTTGTATCTTTATGTCAACAGTATCCATCACAGTATCTTACTGAACACAAAGTAGGTGCTCTAAAAATATTGGAAACTGTTGAATCATACAAATATATATTAAAAGATCCTTATTGCCTCTCTGGTCCTATGCCATAATCATTTAATTTCTATCTAAAACCTCATGTTTTGGAGCCCCTTTGTTTCTTGAATCTGTGCTGTAAACAGTAATGGTGTGATATTTTTGCCCAAATCTGCTTTAAAACCTGCCACTCTTGGCCCAGCTTTGTTAACAGTTTGCATGGGAGAATCAAGTTTCTGAGATCATAGCAGATTCAATCAGTGTTGCTGGTTAAGGTTTATCATAGGACAGGGCAAAAGCTTAGTGAAATGGAAAGCATCCAGTCTGGGCAAAAATCTGTTTTCCTCTTGAGACAAGGAGCTCCTGATATTCTGTAAATTCAGGTGGAGGCGAGGGTCCCTGATGCTGTAATAGATCCAGTCAGTTTTGGTAAAGAAAGGAAAAAGAGAGGCAAACTCCTGGCAGTCTGGACTTCCATTTACCGTATCATAAAGGAGTGAGGAATTATAATGATAAACTGCAAAATTCCAGACTTTTGATCCCTTCCCTACATTTCTACTCTATTTCCTGTTCAATGTGGAGAACAAAATTCGTAGAATAAGGATCTATGAGCTTGTCTTCAGGGTTTGGGTTGCGAAAGGCAGGCAGAGGCTTTGAGGGGCTTGCCAACCCATAGTTAGGCTTTGGGTGGGATAAGGAAGCCCGCTGAGGGACTGAGCAGATAATGGTAGCTGCTGGCTGAGTTCCTGACACTGGCTGCACAAAGGCGGAGGCTGATGTGGTAACTAAGTAACATCAGAAGGGGTATCAGAGGGAGGTTCCTTCGGGGGCGGAGGCGACCCTGGTGAGAGTCTGGCTTTTGTGCACTGTACAGAATGTGAAGGCGGTGTCTGAGACCCCTGCAGTGCCATCCGTTTCAGAAGATGAAGATGATGATGATGATGCTGCCCCACCTCCAGTGATTGCTCCACGCCCAGAGCACACAAAATCTGTGAGTCTTGGGGACATGACAGCTTTGTGATTTATTGTATTTTGGAGGGGGGGGTGATGGGTTGGTGCTGGGTTCTAGAGATTTAATATTCTCCTAGGCGCCCTTAGATTTTGGAGCTGCTAAAATCACTGAACTACCTTGATTGGAAGGTACTTCCTGAATGATTAAAGACGAAGTGGTGTATTTATTTGTTATTGGTTTGTAAATAGTCCCAAGGTGTCCTAGATAATTGGTGTTTATATCAACCCCACCCTAGTTTACTTAGCCTGTTCTCCACAAACAGGAAGAAAGACAGAATTGATGTTACTTAGTGCAGGACTAACATAAATTTTTGCAGTCTCCTGGGAAGCAACAAATTAGTCTGCTGCAGATCTTTCCTCCTCTGTTAAATGCACAGCATTCAACCTCTTAGAACATCACTGATGATACTGAAAGACCCGAGAGAATTTATAAATACGTTAGTGCTATTAATATGCTGGACATCAGGAGTGCACTTTGATGCCAAGCATTGGGAGTGGTTTTATTTAACTTCCTTTGAGGTTCTTGCATCTCAGAATAACCACAGTCGCTCTGTCCTCACTTTGTACAATCTGGTCCCCATACCTTTTTCTTGACTTAACATCACTGATCACTGACCTATCATCAGATGATAATCTACTAGTGTGTCTTTGTTTGGACTTTTTATTACAACAAGTGCTTCATAATCAAAGAACAATCTAGGACTTACGCTCTGTGATAATACAAAAAGGATGCCTTTGGAGCCGAGCATACAAGGAGGAGTTCAAGCAGAAGATGGTTGACAGACTATGGGAGTTACTCTGTAGGATATTCAAGGGAATTAGATGACCTTTTAGGATGAGAATTTATAGGCAGAATCTGTGGAATCGCCTTTTCTGTGGGTCACAACGTCACCCTAAAAGGAGCTTCAAAACTAGAGAGTTGTCAAGATATCTCCAGTTTATATGGCCTTTTTTTGGTTTGCAAGCATGTGCACTTAAAACGTTTTTCCCAAAAATCATGAATTCCTCAAAAGTAGAAGAAATACACATGTATATATTTGCAATGCTTACCATAGTTCTTGACAGGAATCAGAAGGCAGTAAATATTGAATGAACAAGTGAATTGATAAATTTGATCTTCATAGCATTCCTTTCAAAAATGGCATTGTTCATTTCTAATTTATGGAAGAAGAAGCTGAGATTTGGAGAGGGCAAGTGATCTACCCAAAATTCCTTAGTAAGCAATAGAGCCAGGATAGGAAGCAGGTGACTGTCCCCATGTCCAGGTGGCTTTGCACCATAGCACAGTGGCCTTTCTGTGTGTGCAGGTCTGTGCTCGGAGCCAGAGAAGGAGAATATTAGAGAAGAGAAGGGCAGGGTTTGTGCCCTCAAGGAGCCATGTCAGGAGAACTAAAATAGGAGAACAAAGCATAAAAGTACAGCTTCAGGTACAAGGGGTATAGTTTGTCTACACGTACAAGAATAAAAAATTTAAAAATCAGTATGCCAAGGTAGTTAGGAAAGAAGCTATCGTTTCTGATTTCAATGTCTTGACTTATTGCTGTTTTCAATACGTGGAAAGTTCTCTACCATTCCCACCTTTTAAAATCCTGTGCATCTTTCAAGGCACAGCTGAAGAATCCCATTTGTATATTCATTGATTTGTCAAACATTTGCCTGAATGCTTGCTTTTTGTCAGGCAACTGGTTAGATATGGGAACTCAGGGATGAGTGGCATATTCCATGTCTTCATAGAGCTTAGAGACTAGCCAAAAGATACTTGTGATATTTTTATGTAAAACTCTGATAAATACCTTGAAGCAACTCCTGGGGACATTTCGGGAGTATAACTGGTGATCACTTCTTTTGAATTTCAATAGGGTATAGTTTGCTCATTTCTTATGACATTTATCCCTTTCTGCCTGGTAGTTCAGATTTTCTTACAAGACTTACTTCTCAAGAATAGAGGACAAGGGCAGCATTTTGTACAGTGAGGCAAAGAGTAGATTCTCAGTAAATATTTAAGTAAATGAATGAATAAGAAATAGAATATTAGCAAAAATTTGAAAGCTTAATATCTGCTGGGCATAGCATGAATCATTTTACATGTTAATTGATTTATTACTACAACCCCATAATATAGGTATCATGAATTAATATCATTTTACAAATGAGGAAACTGAAGTACAAAGACATTAAAATAATCTGCCCAAGGTTGTCCAAATTGTAAGAATAAGAGTTGAGATTTAAGCGCAGGTGGTCAGGTTCTTTCAAGTTCGAGTCTGTTGTCTGCCTCCTAAAGAACAATTGTAGTTCTTCCTTTGCAAGGGGTCAGGATTTTAAAGAGGGAGTAACACAAAGGAAGGTAATGTTCAGTGTATTACCAATGCAAAGTGCTGTGGAAAACAGGATAGTCATTTCAGCTTGGGAAAGAATTGAGTTTTGTAGATGAAGGGGATTCCCATCTAATGAATCTCCTTTAACTAATTTATATTGAGAGTTGTCCACCCTGTGCTAAATATCTCTTGGGCTCAGCCTCTCACTGAAGAGCAAGGAAGTCCGTTCTACCCGTGGTGGATGGGTAGGCACAGAGGAGGAGGAACGTAGATTTTGACAGAGAAGGGATGAATTTATTGGGATTTGCTACCACAAGTCTAAGAGAGGCTCCTGAGCTTCCCCTGCTCTAACAAAGGCTGGCCTTTCAAATTCTTGCACCGACAATGCAGGTGTACACACGGTCTGTGATTGAACCGCTTCCTGTCACTCCTACTCGGGACGTGGCCACATCCCCCATTTCACCTGCTGAGACTGATCCCGCTCCAGCAGACGCTCTGGCCCGGAACACTGAGAAGCAGAAGAAGAAGCCTAAAATGTCCGATGAGGAGATCTTGGAGAAATTACGTGAGCACTTTATAGCTTCAGAGCTTTCCTCTGGTATATGAGTGATGGAGCACAAAGATAGAATTCCTTTGCAATAAAGATCCTGGCCCAGTACTTGGTTTATGTGCTGGCTGCTTATGGTTGATATCTTAGCCACACTGTGCTTCTCTTGACCTTGCCACTGCACCCCTCTCCTCTGTCTTACCAGCCCTGATTGGATACCATCTTAGGAAGGGACTATGAGAAACAGTGTGGATAGCTCACTGGGAGGGCTAGGCAGTGCTCACCGTAGGCATGGGTTATGGAGAAGACAGAGAACTTTTATCTAGTCTGGAGTGTTGGGCTGAGAAAGACTGACACTTTGTCTGTTACCTGGTGGGAAAGAGTGCTGTGATTGATTATTGATGTTCACCATAGACTAGGAGAAGCCAGACCTGCATCTTGGTTGTGGGGAAAGAGGGAAGGGAAACTAACATTTTGTGAGCCTGTATAATGTTCCAGATGACAAGCAAGGTATTCAGTTGATTTTTTTTTTCATTTATTCATATGTTAATCCTGTGAAGACACATATTGTAAGGCTCAGGGATGTTAAATATCCAGCCCAAAATCACACAGCCAGAAAAGTAACAAGGCTGGGATTAGTGACAGGCCTAGGATTGTACGCCTGTAAATTAGAGCATGCTGCCTCTTGCCCTCAGGTGGAAACTTCATTTTGCTTTCTTTAGTGGCCAGAAATGGGGATTTATTAGGGTAGCTTGTTTCTGTGTTTCAGTAAACTGCAAGAGAGTTCATATTGCAAGGAAGGGCAAGGTTGGTTTGCGGGCTTGGAAAAGCCATTTGATAAGGCCTTTGATTTATTCTTTGTGCCTATCTACTCCGAAGGAGGATTTGATATGACTGATTTGGCCAAATTGCTTTCTAAAGCTGAGGTTTCTGTTTCTCTAGCTTAGCAGCTCTTGATTTCTTCCTGATAATTCTTGTTTGCCTTTTTTTTTTCTTTACAAGATTTTGATCTTGTAAAGGGTGCCCTTGTCCAGAGCATTTATGAAATGATGAGGTAAGGAGAGCCACTTACCTAGCCATCTGTTTACTCCTATATGTAGTCTTTTCCTCTGAACCTTATGTATATATTTTTAACAATAATACTTAGAACATAGAATTACAGAGAACAGGCTGGCCTGGGACTTAAAGACATGGGCTGAAGCCCCAGCCCTGACATTGCCTTGGGTCTTGGGCAATTTCCTACTCTTCTCTGGACCTCCTTTTTTTCCTTCTCTCAAGTAGAGATGAAAATACGTGTCTCGTTTTTAAATTAAATGAGATAATATATGTGAAAAGTACCAACTCTCAGTAATTGGTGTTAGTGGAAAGCACATGGGACTGGGGGACCAAAACACAAAATCCTGATCTTAGCTCTGACACCAGTTTCCTGTGATCTTGGGAAGAAGTATCCTTCCCTTCTGTGGGCCTCAGTTTCACCATCTCTAGAGAACAAGTTGTGAAACCCAAATTCTCTCATACCTCTGTGCCTTTGCACTTGAAGTACTTCCTGGTGTAACCCCCTTTCAGCTTTTTCTCCCTGGCAAACTCCTACTTAACCTGTAAAAATCAGTCCAGATAGGTCCTCCTCTGAAGCCTTTCCAGTTTGTATTCTGTGCCTCTTTCTGTATCACAATAATTATTATATTTTTATGGACCTTTTGTTTACTTGTGTGTGTCCTCCATGAGATTGAGCTTCTTGAGAGCCAGGACTCTCTTAATTGTCCCTTTATTCCTAGTGCTTAACATAGGGCTTGGTACATAGGAAGTGAGCATAATAATGAGTAAGTGTTTATTGAATTAATGAATTTTAAAATGAATGAGTGGTTTTTAGGAGTTTAGAAATGGAATAGATTACTGTGAATAAAAGCAGTCAGGAGATGAAACTTTTGGTTGGAACTTCTGAGTGAACACTAAGGAGCTGCTTAGTATGGTTTTGGGGTATTGGAGGTAGTTCTTTAATTCTTGACAGCTCCAGGGTTTGGGGGAACATGGGGCCTGTTTTGTATCTTGATCTGGGGAAAAATGATTCATGGTCTCTGTTTCTTTCAAAGGGAGCATAGTGAGTGTGGGCGATCCTAAGAAGAAATACACACGGTTTGAGAAGATTGGACAAGGGTTAGTAGGGGCATTTTCTTTCCCTAGAGAAATGACTTGAAATTGTGTATGCTGGTATATATGATTTTGCCTTTGTTTTGCCACTCACAAACCTTGTTGTTCTTTTTCCACTTCATCACTCTCCCTTTTGGAGGGGCTATGTTAGCTTGACTTCAAGTTTGGCAGAATTATGCTTAATAGGAGATGTGCTATTAGCTGACCATGTTGCTAAAAATACCCCTGCTGTGAGAGTAAAGAAACCACTTATTTTTCTAGCACAAAGTTTGCTTCCCAAATTACAACTCTGCTTTTCCAGGTTAACTCTGTTTACCTGGTGCTGAGACCTACCACCACCACCAATATAAAACAGAAGACTCAGAACTGTAGACCCTTCTGCTAGTGTAAGGGGACCCATTTTTCTAGGTGGATGCCAGAATTCACATCTCCAGCTTTCTGGTTTCTTCTCTGCATCTTGTATGCTGTGCGCAGAGTACTGAACTAGCAAATCTTAACTGAGTTCTTGTTATGTGCTAGGTAGGCCCTGTGAAGATAGGTAGCTGTGAATCAGACATAATCTCTGCCTTCAAAGACCTCATGTCTACAGAAGGAAATAGTCAAACAAGGACTTAAAATATACTGTGATAAGTCTTCAAAGTGGCCATTATTTTGATCAAAAGAAGCCAGACATAAAGCAGATTCTGTCTAATTTTATTTAATTTAAGTTCAAGAACAGGGAAAACTGAAATAATGCTAATAGAAGTCAGAATAATGGTTGCATCTGGGAGGGGAATGTTGGTTGGGAGGGGGCAGTGAAGGAACATTCAAGGGCAATCTTGGTGGTGAACACATGGGTGTGTGTGTACATATTAAAAAATCATCAAGTTGCACACTTAAGATTTTTTCAAATTATGTTCAGTAAGTTATACCTCTATATAAAAAGTAAAAATAATGAGATTTCTACAGACCTACCCAAATTGCTAAAATTAAAAAGGAACTAAAAAAAGAAGTATCTGATTTATAGAAAGCTCTCAGCGTTAGTTGAGTGGAAGCCTTGTTACTAATGAAGCTATTGAAATTGTCTGTTTCAGTTTTCTTTCTTATGCTTCCAAGGACTTCTGAAAATAAGACGAACTGTTGCATACAATACAAATGTTGTGTTTGTACAGCAGTCTATAGCTTACATCTGTTATTTGCATCTATTGTTTAACTTAATCTTCAAAACAACTCCGGACTTGGGTGGATCCCAGAGGACCATTTTCCTGATCCAGTGCTTTACCTACTAGACATAACTTTATGAGTCTGAACTGTTAAAAGGTAGTTAGTGCCTTGAGAGAAAATTATTTTGCTTGCCTCAGAGTAATCTGGGATGGCATTTCCTTTATCTAATTACATTGAGGTACTAAGAATGCAGCAGAAATTTACAGAGACAGGTGTGGACAGGTCAGCTCCCATTTATGGGAGCCCAGTTTCTTCATCTTTAAATTTAAGGGAGAGGGACTATGGATTCAAGGACTTTCTCCTCTAAAATTTCTGACTTTTTAAAAAATTCAAATGTAGAGACCCATGAATAGACAACATCTGTAAAATGTTTTTCCTTGTTTACTTGACAGGTCTGTTATGCTAAGAGAGGAATGAAATATTTATTAAGCACCTATGTGTTTGTCTCCACATTCCATGATTTAAAAAATATAAATGTCATACAAATATGATGCATTGGTTCTATTATAATTTTGCCTCTTTTTTTTGCCCTTTAAGACCGGAAGGCTTTTTTTGACCTAGAATTCATATGTCTAATCGTATGCCTATTCAAAGTAGAAATAATCAAGTACTAACCAGTGGGCCTGAATAGCTTTCTAAACATCTGTAATCAGGGAGACATAATCCCCAAATTATGTCCAGTCCCCTGAGGCCTAGGCATCTTTGCCCTTTAAGAATGGTACATCTAGTAGGATGGGGAGAGGAAGATAGATACCGGTGTTATGATAGAAGATGGCTAGATGTAGAAGGATTAGGCAACGGGGAAATACCTGCCAGTGCAAATAATCCCGTCCTTATCTGATAGCCCATATCTTATGATCACAATTTCCTGGAATGTAGCCAGGGTTCCAACTAAAGAGAGATGGTTAAGAAGCTGGTAATGGTAATTTCTAGCTGCAAGGCAAATTTACTAATGACTTTTCTCCCTAAACTAACCTAACTACCTGCAAGCGTCATCTCAGGGCAAGCCTTCGCATTTTGCAATATATAGAATTTTTAATTTCTTCAAATCACATCATATATTTATGACATATGGCATGTACAGTTACAAATAATTGTTGCATATTACCATCTATAAATTATAGGATTTGTGCTATAGGCATAAAATAAGGTTTTTAGTTATTTAGATTGGACATGATTACTTTCCTAGCATTATTCCTAGTATTTCTCTGCATCCCTTTCTTCCCTCCCTCCCACTCTGTTTGTTTGTCTGTCTGTGTGAATGTGTGTGTGTGTGTGTGTGTGTGTGTGTGTGTGTATATATACATGTGGATATGTATGTATAGTTAGGTTATTTTTACCTTGGGGATAGGGTAGTAGTATCAGATTTTCTGGGAGGTTATGTGTTTGAAAAAGTGCATTTAATATTATATGTTTGAAAAAATGAAAAATAAAAACCTATTTTACAATAAAAGGTGCAAAATAAAAATCACATATCTTCTTGATAGGATAAATGATTGTAAAACAATGTTCTAAAGGGTCATAGCATCAAAATAGAAAGGGTACCCTGAGACTATTTTAGGTCATTCTGTGTAGTTCTTAAGGTTTTTATAGTTTTTTAGTAGTTATAGTTTTGCAATGTAAATTTTAATTTAATATAACATGTAAGCATACAACTCAGTGAATTTTCAAAAAGTGAACACACCCATGTAACCAGTACCCAGATCAAGAAGCAGAACGTCACTGTTACCCCCAAAACCCATATTCCTTTTTGCTAAAATTATGTGCTAGCCCCTACCTCATTGTGAAATTTCCCTGGGGTCCCTTTCCCCTCACTCTTCAACCCCATTTGAAAATCATACATCTACTCTTACCCTGGTTTACAGATGAAGAGTTTGAGGCCACAGGAGAGAGTAAAGCAGCTTGCCAGGGTGATGGAGGAGAGGAGAGGAGGAATCAAGAACAGGAGACTAGTATATTGAAGACCTATTATATTTAGACACTTGGATTTTTGAATTAATCAATTTAAATCCTCTTACACCCTCTTATCTCTTATCTTCATTGGTGAGGAAAGTGAAGCTCAGAGAAGTTAAATACTCTGCTGAAGATCATATAGCTAATAGGTACGAGGTAGATGCCCCAGACTGGAGCTCAAGTCTGTTGCCACTGGAGCCACTGTTCTCTGCCACAACATACTGCCTCTCAAATATGAAAATAGAAGAGGGGAACAGTGGGAGGATTGTTTTTGCTGCTGTTATTATTAACACTTAAATTGCTAGATTGTGTGTACAGCTGCATTTAACAAACATCACTTCATTTAACACCCATCTTTTCTTTTTCTTTCCCCCACCTGCTGTTCAGTGCTTCAGGCACTGTATACACTGCAATGGATGTGGCCACAGGACAGGAGGTGAGTATCCACCATCAACTACACTCTTCAGTTCTACTGCTTCTTTTTATTTCTGGTTTATTTTTAGTCCTTCTTAGCTCACTAAGGGCACTTCTAGTCTCTTACTTTAGCAGACCAGAGCTAAACAGAGGAGTAACCGGATGAGACTTATAGGTTTTAGATGAAGTCACTCTGGCTACAGTGTAGAGAACAGATTGGGGGAGATGAGAGTGGAACAAACAAGTCAGAAGGTTACTGTGTAATTCTAGGGGAGAGATGATGGCTTGGACTAAGGTGGGGAGAAGTGGGTGGATTTGAGAGGTACTTAGGTGGATTTGATGGAATTTGGTGATTGATTGAATGGAAGGATGACTTGCAAGTCATTGATGTTAGTCAAGGAGAAAGTAAAAAGGTGGAGGCATAGGTTTGAAGAAGTTGGACACTACCTGAGACACCTTCTTGTGCAACTGTGTAGTGGGAAATTGTTTATGTGGTGCTTGGGAGAGAAATCTGATACAGAAGAGATTTAAACATATGTCTCTTGACTCCTAATCTGTGCCCAGGATACCAGTAAATATTGAAGCCCTCGTTTGGAGGCACCTCTTTGTCCCTGTCATTTCATTAAGCTGTGAGAACTCTGACCTTATTACTAAGGCCTGATGACCCAAGATCTTCAGCAGAAGGAAGCTATGAAGGGAATGGATTTGAGGTTTTCTTGCCCTCTAGGCTTTGGTTGCAGAGCAGCAATGTTGGCAGGTGGGCTGTGGATCAAGCTGCCTGAAGTTCTTCATTCAGAGAGTACTGGGGGTGGGGGTGGGAGGAGCGCTTAGTCCTGGGGCTGGGAGAGGCACCACCTGTTCCAATGAAAAAGAGTCAGCTTCTGTGGGAGGCTACCAGGACCTGCTTTTATGTGTGTTTGGTGGCTGAAACCCCCTGGTGTGCTGGAGAAGCACGGTTAATAGGGACAGCGTATATCCCATTGTGCTCTTGTGAGTCTTTTACAAGTGTCTAAGCCAATACTGGGGCTCCTTTGAGGGTAAGTCAACTTAAAAAAATCATCATATGGTTAAGGATTTATTAATTGTTTTTTTGAGATGAGAATCCAACAGCTGAGATGCTTACCGTTAGTTATTTATGTAACCACAGGCAAGTCATTTCACCTCTCTGAGCCTGAATTTAATTTATTTATAAAATGTGCATGATAACATTTACCTCATAAACATGTTGGAAGAATTCATTAAAGCAGTGAATATGAAAATACATCATAAGCTTTGAGACTTTCATATTTATTAATTTTTATTTGTACATATTTATTTATTCCACAAAGCATTTACTGAGCATTTGCTTCATGCCACACTTTGTGCTAAGAACTACATGAAAGATTCAGTCTTATGTAAGCACCCAGACATTAAAATCATAAATATAAGAGACCATACTTTCCACTGGGTACATATAGAAGTCTTGTAGTGTTGACAGGAACTTACATTAAAATAATGGTGAGGAAGAAAGGTTGGTATTATTGTGCTAATTTTAAAATATGGTGAATTGGAAGCAGAGATAGAAAAGAAGAACTTACACCAGTTCTAAAAGGAACCCACTGAGGTAGGTACTATTATTTCCTTTATACTGATAAGGAATTTGAGGCTCAGGGAGTTTCAGTAATCTTTGCAGGGTGGTGCTGCCAGCAGTTGGCAAGGAGTAAGTTAGAATCTTTTGATTCTCAGACCTAAACCTGGGCTTTCTGGGCTGCAGGGTCAGCAGAACCAAGGTTAGGCACTCGAGCCCCTTGTCATGTTTCTGGCCTCTGGGGCCTTCCGTGGTGGGAGGCAGGCTGGTGATGGGTGGTTCCTGGAAGGCCTGGAGGCTGCGTGTGTGAGAAGCTGGCCACAGCAAACAGACTTGACTTCACTATGTGCCTGCCCTGTGGTTATGAACTATGAATGGAAGTGAGTCCCTGAGGGTGGCTAATGCAGTGTGGTCAGGAAGGCTCATTTCCTGCGCAGGGAGGGTAACTCTAGTACAGCTGATGTGGTGTTCTCGGGGTGGGTGAGTGAGTGCTTGCTCATTGGGCGTTTTCCACCTGGGAAGAGCAGAGCTATAGTCTGCCACAGGTAGGAAGATTGGCATGTTCGTGCTGGGAAGTTTTCCAGTCACCGATTCAACAATTATATTTCAAATCTATTTTGTGTGTAATAGAAAGAATAGACTGGAAGAGGCTTTGGATTCATATGGACATGTGGGCATTGATTATGACCTCAGGCAATTTTCTTGTAAGTCCTAGTCTCAGTTTCCCTACCTGAGAATGCAGATAATGATTTTCACCTGGCAGGGTTGTTGTTCAGTTTTACTGACATAATGTTAGTAGAGCACCTGACGTGGTGCCTGGCACATAGCAGGTATTCAGTAAATAGTTGTGGAGGTTGGGGTGGTTGGTTTTGCCATTGTTCCTGCTGATGTTGTCATTCTCACTGCTTTGTGCCAGGTTCTCATTGAATGCAATTATTACTATAATTAGCATTTTCATTGTTGTCTGTCTGTATCTGTTAAATTCCTTACTTACATATGATTAACACATTGGCTACTATTTCACTGAGTCCACAAAACAATCCTGTGAGGAGGGGAATCATCCTCAGTATTGGTGAAGAGACCAAGGCTCAGAGAGCTTGTGATTGGTCAAGATGAGTAAGTGACAGCCCTAGCCCAGGAGCTTAGGTCCTCAGAGCTCAAGTTCAGTTTTTTTCTCTTATAGGAATGCTAGCTCTGGCCAGAATAGGGGGATTTGATGAGGTAAAGGGCATTTAGCTTAGCCCATAGGCAGTAGCTATTGAAAAAGTGTCTAGTGTTCTGCCACAGCCTCTGTTATCCTCGGCCTGCCTTTCTTCTCCTTGCTGCTGCCATCAGGGACCTCTATGAAGTTCATAAGCACTGTCCCATCCTCCAGGATGGCCTAAGGAACTCCAAAGGCACTGTTTTGATTCCAATCTGACTATGTGTTAAAAGGGATCACTATGCTTAATGTAATATGTCTTTAGGTCAATGTATTGCCCATCAGACATTTAAAAAAGTTAATCATCTAATGTTGTAGATTAAACAGTGTTGTACAGCGAGACCAGAAGGCTAACCTCATAGGAGACCCCACTCCAAAGCAATTTTTTCATTTGGGGTAAGGAATGGAGGTGGTCAAAATGTTTAAAAGAATCATTTCTCTTATTGATGAACTGGATCTCTGCAGAATACTGTCCATATGTGAAGAAATAATAGAGTCGGGGTTTTACCATTAAAAAAATTTGAATTGTTCATCCTTGTGGAAAGACTAATTTAGTTGTTCTGTTAGGTGTTCATGTTCTTGTCTGTTAAGCAGGAAAAAGAAAATAGTTCTGGGGAATAACATTTAACAAATAATTTAAAGTCTACTCTTTGGGGATAGCATAGCTTATTGCTGATGCTTCTTTTGGTTTCAAAAAGTTATCAACCCACTGAGTTCTCTCTTTCCTTCTTCATCTCCACAAACATTTACTGAGCACCCACTGTGTGTCAGGCCCTATGGATGGCACCAGGGATTGTGAGCTTTCAAATGAGCTCTCAAGCTTCTGGAGATACACACCTTAATCAACATTCATACAAGGCAGAATGTGGAAGTTCCGTAATAGAGGTATAAAAGTCATCCTATGGGTCTTTAAAGAAGGGAAAAAGGGTGTTTGGTTTGGAGAATGAGGTTTCATTCAGCTTGATACAAAGTATATGTAGCTTTTGAGCAAATGAAAACAATGCAGGATATTCCAAATTCAGAGATCAGATCCTGGAGTATATGGAATACAGTGGGAAGAAAGATAGGGGTCAGATCATGAGAATTTTGAATGATGGGCTGAGGAGCATCCCTAGGCAAACAGGAGCCATTTATGTTTTTGAGCAGGGGAAAGTGTTATAAAACGTGGGGAAGATTAATCTGGCCATATATGCAGAATAAATTGGCATCGCTTTTGAGGGTTCTAATCCTGACTTTGTTAGTGAATAGCTAAGCATGCAAGTCATATATCCGCTCTGAATCACAATTACCTTATTTGTCAACAGGGATCAGTAGAAATACCTAACTCATTGGTATCTCTGAGGATTTAATGAAATAAATTTGAGAATACTTTACATAGTACCTGACACATAGAAGAACTGGATGCAAAAGTGCCTTGGAAATAAATATATACCTTATATTTGTATTATATGGATATATGTTTATTTCTATAAAAGTCATCTATCCCTTTATGAACCCTTACCACATTGCCAGATTGAAAGAGTTCTTACACTATTTTGTGTTTCTGTAACACTTTGTATGGAGTTTTGTTATAACACACTTTTTTTATATTACGATTTTTAAGAAATATTTTTTATAATATAAATATTTTATTTAGTAGCATTTTGAGCCTCAGACTTTGGTGCACATCAGAATTGCCTCAAAGATTTATTAAAATACAGTTTTTAAATCATTAGGTCTGAGTGGGGCCTGAAAATTTTCAATTCCAAATTCCCAGGTGATGTTGATGCTGCTGGTCTAGGGACCTCAACACTGAGTTACACGGGTCTACATTAATAAATTATGAAATCCCCTCAGGCTAAGACCATACCTTATTTATCTCTGTCTCTTTAGCAGTCTGTCTCTTTAAGGTCTGGTACTTAGTTGGTGCTCAGTAAATGATGAATGACTCTGGTTGCACACTGAATGTACTCTGATTTCAGGTGGCCATTAAGCAGATGAACCTTCAGCAGCAGCCGAAGAAAGAGCTGATTATTAATGAGATCCTGGTCATGAGGGAAAACAAGAACCCAAATATCGTGAACTACTTGGACAGGTATGAAATAGCAGGTCCTGTCAGAGAGACAGGGCATTGGGGGCCGACAGATGGTGGAACTGTCAGAGAAATCTCGTCAGCCCTCAGAACTGCCTCGTTTAAGAATCTTCTGTGATGGTTAGCTCCCTGCCTTTAACCCTTGGTGCTGCCAGACGCCTCTAATTCCTGCATAGTCTTTCTGGGTTAGGCTAAACCCTACCATCTTGTGGCATCTAACACCTGGTGTCTTAGTACTACTTATTCTGCCTCAGGGAAGCCCTTCTGTGTAGGTATTTAAATCATTCTGCATCCTAAATCTTCCCTTATCCTGCTCATCCTCCTGAATAACTTCTAGTTTGTCTGTGGTTTCTTAAAATGTAATAATCAGTAGTTTCATTTGAGATTTGACCATATGAAGAGAATGGGACTCCTTTGTTTTAAACTCAACACAACCTAATGATTTTATTCATTGTTTTGTCTTATTAGGAGGCCTGTTTCATTGTTGACCCCTAGTCAGTTTGTAGTCAGTAAAAATCTGATCCTTTCTTTATAGGAGCTTGCCTGAAACTGCTAACATAGAACTTTTTAGTTTCCTTCATTAAATCTTATTTTGGTTATTTCAACCCATTGTTCCAGCCCATCAGACTACTGTTCTTCAACATAATAATACTGGTTGTAGCTAACATTTGTGTTAGGTTTTTCTTTGTACCAAGCACTTTCATGAATAGTATCTCATAGTGGGGTAGGGTTTATTATCTATATTTTAAAGTTGAAGAAACTGAGATTCATAGAAGTCAAAACTTAGCCAAGACCAGTTAGTAGCAAATGAAGGTTTGGATTTGAATATTCCTGGCACCAGCATCCATGCCCTTTCCCACCATGTCATGTTCTTTTCTCCCATATGTGAAGAAAGAATGTGAGCTGCTTTCCCGGGTTTCAGAGATACCACAGGTGGAGGTGATACTGGACTATAATTTCATTATGATTTGTATTACACTGCCAGCTAGATTTCATTTTCTGCCAAATTCTATCAGATTTTTTGTTCTACATCTAAAATGTTGGTAAACTAGTAGCTCCTAGTCTGGTGTAAAAAAAAGTACCTGGGAACTACTGTGGGAGGACAGAAGTGGGTGCCCTGACCTGAGCATTCAGTGAAAGTATTCCAGTTAAGAGTCTATGTTTTCTGTGAATTGTCGCAGAGGAGAACTCCATCCATATTTGTTCTTCTCCAAATATGTTATGGTCTGAGGCTTTACTTTGAGATGTGATTTTTGAAGTATCTGGACACAGTGTGTAGCCACAAAGTGTTTGAGACAACCTCAGTGTGGTTTTGCATCATCTTGGCTTTGACAGTGACATGTAGGGCCAGGTAAAGGAGCTCTGCTTTGTCAGTGTCCAGAAATAGTCTCTTGGACCCTCATATTTCTTCCCCCAATCAGTCTCAAGTTGACAGATGTCTTCTCAGTGTGAGAGACCATAAATGTGCGTTCTTTGTCAAGGAGGAAATAGGCTAAATAGGTAAAACCCAGTCCTAAATTCTCCTTTGGTCTAATGGTTGGTTATTCACTCTCAAAAGAGATTGTGGAAAAAGTCTGTCAGTTTGTTCTTATGGTCAACAAAAAACTACTTTCAATAATAAAAAATGTAGAATCTTATGAAAAGAGTACTAGTCAAGAGAATAGGATGCATATCTTACCCTTTCCTTGAGACCGTTTGCTTTTACCCAACCTCTCCCTGTGTATCCCACATTAATCCCAATGTCGGGATGAAGTACGATGACATACCACACAGCTCAAGCCAGTACAATCTAGCTGCTCTGTCTAAAGCTAGCAGAAGTGTCTCTAGGCTCTGTAGTATCAATTGGACTATCCTTGTTTTTATTTGTCTTATTCTACAGCTGAGGAAACTGACCAGACCGGCTCGGTGACCTTTTAATTTATCACAAAATGCAACTGTCAGATCCAATCTGTGAGCGCAACTGTCAGTTCTAACTCATGTCAGCCCCGTAATCTCTTTAGGAATACAGTACTTAAGGGCAGCCCTTGGCTTACCAGAAGAGCGTCTGCAGCCTTTGCTGAATTCATTCTGTTCCTAGAATCAGAGACACTCAAAATGCAGACCATTGTTAGCTTAATGACTATGTGTATAATAATTTTACAGCTTTTAGATGGCTTTTATAGCCATTGTTTCATTTAATATTTACATTTATCTTTATTTTATTCATTGACTTATTCAGTAAATATTGGCATCTACTCGGCTGGACTCTGGGGAGAGAGTCTTGAATAAAGTCCAGTACTTGGTCTCCTGGATCTCAGATTCAGTAGAATTCTCAGGAGGTTTAGTGACTTTCCCTAATGTAGGTAACATGGACTTCAAATCCCATCATTGTCAAATGTTTGGATGCACTCTGATCGATGCTGCCAGAGGCATGGGAATCAGTAAAATTTTAGGAAGCATTACTTTGTAATTTGTGATGAGGAAATTTAATTTTATTATATCTTCAACCTAGTGATCTTAGTTCTGCCCTTTGGGGTGTCCCACAACAGTCTGTTTTGTTTTCTCCAGGCAAATCCTTGAAAGATTTCAAGCTAGTGATTCTGTCCCCCAGATTCTGCTTTTCTCTAGAAAAAAAGAACCCTAGACTTCCAGAGCCAATGGAAATGCACGTTCACTTTGTGTATATGTAGCCTCAGTGACTGTGTATTCTGTTCCTTTTCACCCTTTATCTGTACTCTTACAGTTACCTTGTAGGAGATGAACTGTGGGTTGTCATGGAATACTTGGCTGGAGGCTCTTTGACAGATGTGGTGACAGAAACCTGCATGGATGAAGGCCAGATTGCAGCTGTGTGCCGTGAGGTAAGGCCAGTGGCCAACCAGCCTGAAGCCGGAAGTGGCCTCCATATTCATGTCTCTCAGTTTACACCTGACAGGATCTGAACCTAGGCACTGTGGAGATGGGAGAAATAAGTAGGACTCTCCCATCATTCTTTTTATAACTGTTTTGAAATTTCTATTGCCATGATTTTGTCTTTAAAGATAACTTTATTCTGATTATAACATTGCATACCCATTGTAGAAAAATCAGAAAGTACCTATATATATAAGTCACTCTTAAATTCAAGCCTTAAATATAACTACTGTAAATACTTTGTAATATTTTCCTTTATTTCTTTTATATGGACACATTTACATCTTCTTTTTATTCTGCTTTCCTGCTTTCTTCCTGCTGTGAGAGAAATAAAGCAGAGTAAGAAGGTAGTCACAGGGGAGGTACTGCTTTAGACCAAGTAGTCAGGGAACGTTTGGCCCTAGATCTGAATGAAGATCTGAATGATATGAATAAACAAGCCGAGCAGAAATCTAGGGTGAAGTACTTCCAGGCAAGAGAAGTAGGAAACAAAGCTGAGTAGGTATTCCGCTTTCTCCTCATTGCTGTTAAATTTTTGAAGCCTGTAATACGCGGGTATAAGATGTGGGGGAAAGCTCTCCATGCAGAGCAGGGTCCTTGGGGGACAGCCGCGTTTTCATTAGAGCAAGAGGATGAAGGGAATATTCAGGGAAATTGAGGATACTGGGTGTTTTGCTGATGAGAGACTGAAAATTTCCAGTAGCCTAATAATAAGAAAGATGGGGAATTAGGGAAAGAGTAGAAGACTAGATTCAGAGTTTCACAGAATGAGTCTAATAGTATGGTGGAAGTTTAATAATACAAGATCTGGAGGCATGCAGATGAAATTATGTAGTTGCATACTAAATAAATATTAGGACAAATAAAATCATGTGAAACCAATATTGTCCTGGAAAATATAATTATGTTTGCTTTAAAAACTGAGTGATCTAGAACACAAACAACACATAGGTTAATAGAATTAATACACGCCCGGATTCTTAGAAGATGTGACTTCTTTGCTTTGCTGTCCCACTAATGCTGTGGTTCTCACTTTTTTTTTTATTATCTCCTCCACGAAGGAGACTTTTAAGACATTTTCTCCTAATCACATTCCCTCCATGAAATTTTAATACCATAGATGTACTGTATATCTGTTTATATACTGTGTCCCTTTGGAAACCACAAACCATTGTACTATCCAAAGTGTTATTCACTCACTCCAGGAACTTTCAGTGGTTGAGAATACATACATATGTGTGCTTGGGGCAATCAGTTTTCCTCAAATAACTTATCTTTAAAATGAGAATTGCAACAATCACGCTATATATACCTTAAAATACCATATGGATCAAAAAGCACTTAGAAAAAATTTAAATGTTACATAAATAGGTGGTATTACTATCTAAGTTCTAATAGAGATCATCCCCCTTTTTTAAAAATAGTTTTATTGAGTTGTAATTCACACATATATAATCACAGCATATAATTCACCTACTTAAAGTATGTAATTTAATGGTTTTTAGTATTTTGAGTTGTGTAACCATCACCATAATCAATTTGAGGACATTTTCATCACCCCAAAAAGGAACTCTATGCCCATTAGCAGTCACTCCCCACCCACCCCATTTTATCTTTGGGTTATAGACTTAAAATAGTGGATTTAGTAGCACAGCTGAGATTGTCTTTCCTGATCCTCACATTTTACAGATGGGAAAGCAGTAGCCCACACAGAGTAAGTGATTTTTCTAGAATGATACTGTCAGTCAGGTAATAACAGAACCAGGCATTTTCATGTTCCATTAATTCTCTATGTTACTCATTCTGTCTGCTGAGTATAGGTGTTTCACAGGGTTCTTTTCTTTCTCCTCTTATTTTCTGTAACATTTGCCAGTTCCAACCATTCCTATAACTT